AGAACACCCTCAATTTTTCCAGTTATTTATTAGAAATCAAGTCGTGCAAGTCCAATGAAGAGCTTGAAATGGTACAAAGGTAAGAACTGAACAGACAGAGGTTAAAAAAAAAAGATAAAAGAAACAAAACACAAGTCCGAAGCTCTGCCAAAACTACCTCAGGAAAAAAGAAAAACATGGTAAAGCTTGAAAACATGGAGTGTCCAGCACAGTGTCCAGACTTAAACCCCATCGAGCTGGTTTGGGATGAACTGAACAGAAGAGTGAAAACCAAGAAACCTACAAGAGCCACACATTTATGGAAACTTCTGGGAAGAACTTTCTGAAAATATTTAATTTCTATTGTAAAAAGAACGAGCCACGAGTGTGTTCAGCTGTTATATCTGCCAAAGGTTGGACACTTTTATGAATCAGAAGTTTAGAATGTGTTTTGGTCAACACTAAATGGTAAAAAAAAACTGTGGTGTTCTAAAACTTTTGACCGGTTTTATGTTTCAAGCTTGATAAAGTTTACCTAAAATATAAAGTTTTTTTGGTAACCTACACGATCACGGGTTTCGATTTCCTGTTTAGAGCTTTCTTTGACTGGCCGTTATTAACATTGTGGTTCAAATTGTCAATCGCTATGGCAACGGTTCTCACTTTTCATCACTTCCACAAATAACGGTGCGTTCCCCCCGTAGCTCGCGCCTGCAGAATGTGGTGTTATCATATACGGCGCCGCGTCTGTAGTGAAATGAACTCCTGGCATGGGAAGTCTATTAACCCGCATCGCCTTTAGCGGTCTGCCGGGGAGTTGTGGGGGGGGTGGTGGGTGGTGGGGTCGAGGGGTGGTGGGGGGTGGGGGGGTGCTTGCTCGCGGGGTGTTAGCCGGCGGTGTAAACGGGCCCGGCGGTCGGGACTCGTCTCGCACGCAGATGAGACGAGTCAACGTCCAACATGCAGAATCCCCCAGGAGACGCTGCCCTGTCCTGTGCTTGACCCTAAAGCAAACCAATCAACCTTTAAATCAAGTTTCAGATTGCCTATAACATTTTAATTTACTCCTCTGCCCCCTCTCTCTCTCTCTCTCCATCTCTCTCTCTCCTCTCTCCATCTCTCTCTCTCTCTCTCTCTCCATTTCTCTCTCTCTCTCTGTCTCTCCTGTCTCCATCTTTCTCTCTCCTGTCTGGGTCTTAATGTCCTGTATTTTTAACCTCCTCTCCTCTAACCACCTCTCTCCATCTCTCTCTGTCTCTCCATCTCTCTCTCTCTTTCTGTCTCTCCATCTCTCTCTCTCTCTGTCTCTCCAGCTCTCTCTGTCTCTCCTCTCTCCATCTCTGTCTCTCTTGTCTCCATCTTTCCCTCTCCTGTCTGGGTCTTAATGTCCTGTATTTTTAACCTCCTCTCCTCTCTCCCTCTCTCTCTCTCCTCTCTCCATCTCCCTCTCTCTGTCTCTCCATCTCTTTCTCTCTCACTCTCTCTCTCTCTCCATCTCTCTGTCTCTCCTCTCTCCATTTCTCTCTCTCTCTGTCTCTCCTGTCTCCATCTTTCTCTCTCCTGTCTGGGTCTTAATGTCCTGTATTTTTAACCTCCTCTCCACTAACCACCTCTCTCCATCTCTCTCTCTCTTTCTGTCTCTTCATCTCTCTCTTTCTGTCTCTCCATCTCTCTCTCTCTTTCTGTCTCTTCATCTCTCTCTTTCTGTCTCTCCATCTCTCTCTCTCTTTCTGTCTCTCCATCTCTCTCTGTCTCTCCATCTCTCTGTCTCTCCTCCCTCCATCTTTCTCTCTCTTCTGTCTCTTAATGTTCTGTACTTTTAATCTCCTCTTTTCATCTCTCTCTCTCTCTGTCTGTCTGTCTTTTCTCTTTCCATCTTTCTCCCCATCTTTCCATCTCTCTCTCTGTCTCTCCTCTCTCCATCTCTGTCTCTCTTGTCTCCATCTTTCCCTCTCCTGTCTGGGTCTTAATGTCCTGTATTTTTAACCTCCTCTCCTCTAACCACCTCTCTCCATCTCTCTCTGTCTCTCCATCTCTTTCTCTCTCTCTGTCTCTCCATCTCTCTGTCTCTCCTCTCTCCATTTCTCTCTTTCTCTCTTGTCTCCATCTTTCTCTCTCCTGTCTGGGTCTTAATGTCCTGTATTTTTAACCTCCTCTCCACTAACCACCTCTCTCCATCTCTCTCTCTCTTTCTGTCTCTCCATCTCTCTGTCTCTGTCTCTCCATCTCTGTCTCTCCTTCCTCCATCTTTCTCTCTCTTCTGTCTCTTAATGTTCTGTACTTTTAATCTCCTCTTTTCATCTCTCTCTCTGTCTGTCTATCTTTTCTGTTTCCATCTTTCTCCCCATCTTTCCATCTCTCTGTCTGTCTGCTCATCTCTCCATCTCTGTCTCTCTTGTCTCCATCTCTGTCTCTCTTGTCTCCATCTTTCTCTCTCCTGTCTGGGTCTTAATGTCCTGTATTTTTAACCTCCTCTCCACTAACCACCTCTCTCCATCTCTCTCTCTCTGTCTCTCCATCTCTTTCTCTCTCTCTGTCTCTCCATCTCTCTGTCTCTCCTCTCTCCATTTCTCTCTCTCTCTCTGTCTCTCCTGTCTCCATCTTTCTCTCTCCTGTCTGGGTCTTAATGTCCTGTATTTTTAACCTCGTCTCCTCTAACCACCTCTCTCCATCTCTCTTTCTCTTTCTGTCTCTCCATCTCTCTCTGTCTCTCCATCTCTCTCTCTCTTTCTGTCTCTCCATCTCTCTCTCTCTCTGTCTCTCCTCTCTCCATCTCTGTCTCTCTTGTCTCCATCTTTCTCTCTCCTGTCTGGCTCTTAATGTCCTGTATTTTTAACCTCCTCTCCTCTCTTCCTCTCTCCCTCTCTCTCTCTCCTCTCTCCATCTCCCTCTCTCTGTCTCTCCATCTCTTTCTCTCTCTCTCTCTCCATTTCTCTCTCTCTCTCTGTCTCTCCTGTCTCCATCTTTCTCTCTCCTGTCTGGGTCTTAATGTCCTGTATTTTTAACCTCATCTCCACTAACCACCTCTCTCCATCTCTCTCTCTCTTTCTGTCTCTCCATCTCTCTCTGTCTCTCCATCTCTCTCTGTCTCTCCATCTCTCTCTCTCTTTCTGTCTCTCCATCTCTCTCTGTCTCTCCATCTCTTTCTGTCTCTCCATCTCTCTCTCTCTTTCTGTCTCTCCATCTCTCTCTGTCTCTCCATCTCTCTGTCTCTCCTCCCTCCATCTTTCTCTCTCTTCTGTCTCTTAATGTTCTGTACTTTTAATCTCCTCTTTTCATCTCTCTCTCTCTCTCTGTCTCTCTCTCTCTGTTTGTCTGTCTTTTCTGTTTCCATCTTTCTCCCCATCTTTCCATCTCTCTTTCTGTCTGCTCATCTCTCCATCTCCGTCTCTCTTGTCTCCATCTTTCCCTCTCCTGTCTGGATCTTAATGTCCTGTATTTTTAACCTCCTCTCCTCTAACCACCTCTCTCCATCTCTCTCTGTCTCTCCATCTCTTTCTCTCTCTCTGTCTCTCCATCTCTCTGTCTCTCCTCTCTCCATTTCTCTCTTTCTCTCTTGTCTCCATCTTTCTCTCTCCTGTCTGTCTCTTAATGTTTTGTACTTTTAATCTCCTCTTTTCATCTCTCTCTCTCTCTGTCTGTCTGTCTTTTCTCTTTCCATCTTTCTCCCCATCTCGCCATCTCTCTATCTGTCTGTTCATCTCTCTCTCTGTCTCTCTTCTCTGTCTCTCATCTCTCTCTCTCTCTTCTCTCATCTCTCTCTCTCTTTCTGTCTCTCCATCTCTCTCTCTCTCTGTCTCTCCTCTCTCCATCTCTGTCTCTCTTGTCTCCATCTTTCTCTCTCCTGTCTGGCTCTTAATGTCCTGTATTTTTAACCTCCTCTCCTCTCTTCCTCCTCTCTCCCTCTCTCTCTCTCCTCTCTCCATCTCCCTCTCTCTGTCTCTCCATCTCTCCATCTCTCTCTCTCCTCTGTCTCTTAAGGTTCTTTACTTTTAATCTCCTCTCTTAATCTCTCTCTGTGTCTGTCTGTCTGTCCTCTTTCCATCTTTCCTCTCTCCATCTCTCTCTCATCTCTCTTTGTCTCTGTGTCTCTTCACCTCTCTGTCTCTCCATCTCTCTCTCTCTCTCTCTCTCTCTCTCTCTCTGTCTCTCCATCTCTCTCTCTCTCTCTCTCTCTCCCTCTCTCTGTCTCTCCATCTCTCTGTGTGTCTCTCTCTCTCTCTCTCTCTCTCCGTGTCTCTTCACCTCTCTCTCTCATCTCTCTCTCTCTCTCTCTCTCCTCTCTCTGTCTCTCTCATCTCTCTCTCTCTCTCTCTCTCTCTCCTCTCTCTGTCTCTTCCATCTCTCTCTCTCTCTCTCTCTCTCTCCTCTCTCTGTCTCTCCATCTCTCTGTGTGTCTCCATCTCTCTCTCTCTCTCCGTGTCTCTTCACCTCTCTGTCTCTCCATCTCTCTCTCTCTCTCTCTCTGTCTCTCCATTTCTCTGTCTCTCCTCTCTCCATCTTTCTCTCCTTTGTGTCTCTTTCTGTCCTGTATTTAATCTCCTCTCTCTCTCTCTCTCTCTCTCTCTCTCTCTCTCTCTCTGTCTCTCCTCTTTCCACCTTTCTCTCTTCTCTCTCCCTCTGTCTCTCTCCCTCTCGCTCTTGCTCCTCTCTTCATCTTCTCTCTCATCTCTATTTTATTTTCCATTCATTCCTTTCTCCATCTCTCTCTTTGTCTCTCTCTGTCCCTCTCTCCTCCTCTCTCCGTCTCTTTCACCCCTCCATCTCTGTTTTTCTCCTTTCTTTCTCTTTCTCCCTCTCTATCTTTATCTCTCTCACCTCCCTGTCTCTCTTTCTCCTCTCTCCTGCCTCCTCCCCACCCCTCTCATCTCTCTTTCTCTCTCTCCTTCTCTCTATCTCTTCCTCTCTCAATTTCTCTCTTTCTCTTCTCTCTCTGTCTCTGTCTCTCTCTTCCTCTCCCTCTCTTTAATGCCGCTCCCTCTCTCTCCATCCGTCTCATCTCTGCTCTTCTGTCTTTACAGTTTCTACATGGTGAACGAGGTCCATAAATTCCAGTATTCGCGCCCGGTGCGGAAAGGAAAGAATGACCCGGAGAACGAGTTTGCGGTAATTATCCCTCCTCCCTCTTCCCTCTCTCCTCTCCTCTCTCCTCCCTCCATCAGACTCTGTACAGGCTGTAGCTGTTAAACCTGTGTCCTCCTCTAATTAAGACATTTACACACACATATATTCACTCGGCGCTAATTGAAAGCTCATATTTCAAGTTACAAAGTAGAAACAGACTGGGTTGTTCTGTGGCAGAGTGGTTAGTACTCGTAGGGATGTAACAGAATCCGTGTATCATTCGTTCATTCGTTTTTCAATATAAAACCAAAAATAAGAAAACGAAAAAACAACAGTTTTCTTCGTTATTTGTCTCCAAAACCAAAATGAAAAAACAGATAACGATTCGTTTTTTCAGTTTTCGATTTTGTGTTTAAATGAAGAATGGAAAAAACGGATAATGGCCGTCTCCCGTTTACGTGACTTCAGTGACTGCGATGCCGGACTTTTGCACCGGGTACGGACTGAACCGGGACTGATCCAGGTCCGAGACCAGACCGAGACCAGAGCGGGACTGAGACTGGGACCAGACCGGGACCAGAGCAGGACTGAGACCGGGACCAGAGCGGGACCAGGGCGGACTCCGAGCTTTGACTCCGGGCCTCCATGGGGTCCGAGCCTCAGCTTCGAGCTCCGGCCCTGCCGTGGGCTCTGAGCCTCCGCTCTGGTCCCGGTCTGGTCCCAGTCTCAGTAGCACTCTGATCCCGGTCTGGTCCCGGACCTGGTCCATTTGAACCAAAAGCTCTTAGTTCGATTCATTTTCGTTGGTGTGAATGCGTCAGTCGGATGCTTTGCACCACCTCGGAACCAGCCGTGGTTCTTGAGCGTGGAGGACCAGAGCAGCTCTGTCCCGGTCTCAGTCCTGCTCTGGTCTCGGTCTGGTCTTGGACCTGGATCCGTCCTGATTCAGTCCGTATGCGGTGAGACTGGGACCAGACCGGGACCAGAGACCCCCATCAGAGCAGGGCCGGAGCTCGAAGCTGAGGCTCGGACCCCGTGGAGGCCTGGAGTCAAAGCTCGGAGTCCGCCCTGGTCCCGGTCTGGTCCCGGTCTCAGTCCCGCTCTGGTCCCGGTCTCAGTCCCGCTCTGGTCTCGGACCTGGATCAGTCCTAGTTCAGTCCGTACCCGGTGCAAAAGTTCGGCATCGCAGTCACGGAAGTCACGTAAACGGGAAACGGCCGTTATCCGTTTTTTCCATTCTTCATTTAAACACAAAATCGAAAACTGAAAAAACGAATCGTTATCCGTTTTTTCATTTTGGTTTTGGAGACAAATAACGAAGAAAACTGTTGTTTTTTTGTTTTCTTATTTTTGGTTTTATATTGAAAAACGAATGAATGAATGATACATGGATTTAACAGTAACCAAAATATCGTAATATCATATCGTCAAAAGTGTCACAATAATATCGAATCTCGAGTCTCTTTGCTTAAATTCATTGTTTTGATGCAGCAACAGCTAAAAAATAGTGAGAACTACATAGACCATGATCCTTTGCTCTGTTTCAGTTCAGTAAATTATAAGCACTTTGTAATCTTAATTATTTGGGTTATGACGAAAGAAAAGTAACATATTCCCAATTCTGTATATATGTTTTTTGCTTCCTCAAAATATCGTAATAAATATTGTATCGTGAGATTTGGATATCGTTACATCCCCAGTGCGTTGTGTAACTTTTCCGGTCAATTGCATTTTTCCATAGAGATATTATTGCTTTGTCTGGAATGTTTCACAGTATGGCTTTAAACCTTTCTATCTGAAGCCAAACCAGACCAAGTTACAGGTCAGATCTGTGGAGAGGCAACCCTGCTCACAGTCAGAATGTTTTTTTTTTTTCAAGGTTTTTTGAGCTTTAATCCACCTCTAATTGAATAAATGAGCTGTTTAATGTCATACTGTGGAACGTTCCAGGCAGGTGACAGACTTCCAACCAAAAAGTTACACACTGCACTGCTTAACTTAAGATTGAGGCTTTAATAAAATGATCCGTCTCTGAGTAGTTTTCAGACTTTCAGATTTTTACAGTATAACATCTGACTATAGTTAAAAGCTGTGGTTACTCTTTCCACTGTGAGTGAATCTATAAATAATACTGGTAGGTAGAGGCACACATCCAACAAAAATTGTGAGCGCGCGCAAAGACAAAAACAGTACAAAAAAAGGGAAAGAGATCTGCAATGTTGTTCTTTGACACTCCCAAATTTTAACTTCAATGACGCCCTTCTTGAGACATCCAAAACGTCATTGAAATAAAAATTTGGGAGCGTCAAAGAACTGCAGTGTGGAACTCTTTCCTTATTGGTACTGTTTAAGTCAGGGGTCTCCGTGCTTTTTCCTGCGGTGAGCTCCTTTACGAAACAAAAATGCCAGAGAGCTACTAATTTTAGCGGCCGCAAAAAATTTAGACGATTATAAGAAAGAAGGCAAATGTTTGGGTAGAGTTAGGTGCCAGTGAAACATAAACCACTGTCCATTTATTAGTGCAAAAAGTTGGACTTCAGAATTATACATTTACAATAGTAATACACATGTAATTAACTAAATTTGTGTTATTAAAAAAAAAAAAAAAAAAAAAAAAAAAACAGTATTTCCCTCTTTTCCCTTTATTTATTTATTTATTTATTTTTCAGTTTACTTATTACTTTATTTATTTTTTTATTTTTTTATGTATTTATTTATTTTGTATTTATTTTATTTATTGGTATTATTCTTTATTATTTTAGTTTTTATTAATATTATTAATATTAGTATTATTATTTTTACAATGGATACAGTGAGTTACAGTGAAAGATGGTAATGGGAAGGGGGATTTAGGGAATACAAAAATTGTCACATATTACTAGTTGTTTTTCTCTGTGACATCTGCTTCAAGTGCACAAAAAAAATTATTAAAATAAAATAAATAAAATGTTATTCGTCAGCACAATAGTATAATTTCGAAATCCTTTGGCGAGCTACTTCGAAAGGGGTGGCGAGCTACTTCGAAAGGGGTGGCGAGCTACTGGTAGCTCCTGAGTTACAGGTTGGAAACTCCTGGTTTAAGTGTACAAATAACAAAAATATACTGACATGATCTGACTTAGTTTTTCAAATTTTTCTATTCTATTCTGTTGTTAAAGGTCCTTTATTACACACAGTTGACTCTTGTGAGCTTTAAGCCATGTTACAATGCTGTTACCTCCTCAAAAACTCAATCTGGAGTTGTGTTTTTCTTTCATTTCCACATGTTTGAGCAGTTCTTTATTGTTAGTTGTCTACATCTCCAAAGCTCGAAATACTCTGTTCCACCTTGTGATGTCATGAAGTGCTCGTTTATTAACAACTCTTAGTTCAGTAGAAATTGACGATTCCAAAGCTGAAATGATCCCAAATGATTCTAGTGAAGGTGTATGGAGTTTAAAAACAAAGTGGAGAGAGGAACGAAGCCTTAATATGCAGGTTTGTGTGTTAAACTTCAACTATTTGTATTATTTTAGTGATGCAGTTTAAAACACAGTATAGATTCTAACTTATCTCCACCAACTTCCAATTCCCCTTTTGTTTGTAAATGCTCGCGGTACATTTGTTTCACTTTGATCATTATTTACATTAATTTGTGTGTATTAATAAGAGGAACACAGAGTTTGCAGAGAGTCTGTTGCTGGTGTTGGTCCCTCGAGGAGTTTTCACACAAATATTAAACCAGTGCATTCAATAAAAACAAGAGCTTCATTTGCACAGTGCGGAGAGAATAATACTGTAGAGTCTCCTGTTGTTTTTCACAATAGAGAATAATGATGAATACGGATGTGCATCTGTGGAAATATGTCGTTTTTCCTATAGTTTAATCTTTCCTTTTGTTGAGTTATGTTTGAGTTTGTATGTTAGTATGACTAAAGTGTCCACATTACACTTTTCTGATCTGATTCTGACTTTACCTGGAGTTGTGTTTTGTTTCATTCACACACGTTTAACACACAAATCCTGCATATTTAAGCTTCCCTCAAACAGAAAACACTCTGTTCCACTTCGTGATGTCATGTGGTAATACAGGAAGTGCTCGAATGTGTTTTTAAACTCCATACACCTTCACTCGAATCATTTGGATACTTCGATTGCAAACCTCCACTGAACTAAAAGTAAAAGGTAGTTGTTGAAAACTACCACTTCGTGACATCACAAGGTGGAACAGAGCAAAACACAACTATGTTTTTGATGAGGTAAAAACATTATAATGTGACTTAAAGCTCACAACAAGAATCAATTTTGGGTAATATAGGATTCTTGATACATTCTGTTGTTTAATGTTACAAAAACACAGTATTGTGGACATAATTTTCCATCTTTTAATTAAACTTTTCAAAATGCCAAATTTAAACCCACCACAAATAGACTTTCACGATAGTTTCTGCCTCGCTGCATTTTGTTTACAATCTGTTTGCCAAATCAGTCTCTTTTGAACCACATCACTAGGTGCAAATGGTTCCTCATTACAACACCATTTAAAGGTCTTAGATTACGCAATATTAACCCTTGTGAGCTTTAAGACTGTTAAAATGTTGTTATCTCATCAAAAACACACCTGGAGTTGTGTTTTGTTTCATTCACACATGTTTGAGTAATCCTGCATTATAATCACTATAATCTCCAAAGCTCAAAATGTTCTGTTCCACTTTGTGATGTCATGAAACGGTAATTTTCAAGTTAACTACTGCCTGTTACTTAGCTAATTTAATTTCTCTCCGTCAAGTGAGGCAGAAATCGGAATACACTAGACGGTTTGCAAGAACCCCGGAAGTTGTAGATCGTGCACGGACCAATCAGTGAAGAGCTGTGAAGTCGTGACGTCAAACTCAAGCGTCTGTCTGGGTCCCTTTTGTGGTTCAGCACAACAGTAAACAAAGCGGTCGAGATGGATGTAGACGAAGACAGATATTCTGTGTTGGCAACAATTCCCGAGATCGAGGATTTAAAGCCGGAACAAAGAGAATGTTTGGTGAATTTTATCAAGGGGAAAGACGTTATTGCCCTTCTTCTTACGGGATTTGGCGCATTACACACGTCATGACCAAATAGCAGCGATTGGTTGAATAAAAAAAGTACCCGCCTACTGTCAAGCGAACGAATCCTAATGCTGCCAGGTCAGACGATTTCCACGAAGTGAAACCGGCTGATGAATCAGGCTACCTTTTACACTTTTATTCTTAAGAAAATGATTCTAGTGAAGCTGTATGGAGTAGGGATGGGCATGATTAGTCGATTAATCGATAATTGATCATTAAGAATTTCATCGATTACGTAAATTTTAATCGACAAACCGAATGTAGGTTGCTGTGCGTAGTGTGACCAAACAGGGGTCCGTACATGTGTCTCTCTGCACTCAGAAGGAGCGAGACACAAACAGTCAGTCCACCTGTAACGTACCGAAGTGCATATGCGTATTTAACGATGACTTGTACAAGAAATTCCACACTTTCCGTTCCGGTCGGGACAAGTGTGAGTCCATGTGCACAGTGTATAAAGCAGCACATATGTTTCGGTGTCCAGTGGGAAAAAGCTTTACCAGGTGAGAGTCGTGCAATGTCGATGACGAGTCCCCACCTCCCTCCCCCGTACGGTGTCCTGGTTTTGACAAACGCAAATATGGTCACACTAAACTGTATTCCACTGAGTCATGTCTTTTAATCCAACAGAAATTGACCGCATCAGCGACACAAGAGCTGTAGTTTTATCTTCGCTTAGTTTATGCAAATTAGCGATGCGGTTTTAAGTTTCGTTTCTGTGAGAGTTGCGCAAAACTGAATTAAACACATTATAATGTCAAACGGGCTGATGTGGCTCTAGTGTCGTTACGGTTTATTTGTCGTAAAGTTGAATTTATTTATGCAGATTAGTAGTGCAGATAGTAATAATAATGATGATCATTTTAATATAAAAACGTTAATGATTAATCGATAATCGATCGTTAATTCTCTCGACGATCGATTAAGAAAATTTCATCGAATGCCCATCCCTAGTATGGAGTGTAAAAACCAAGTGGAGCCCTTCCTGTATTACCACATGACATCACAAGGTGGAGTGTTTTCAGTTTGAGAGAAGAACTGAGCCTAAATAAGCAGGATTTGTGCGTTAAACGTGTGTGAATGAAACAAAACACAACCCCAGGTCTGTTTGTGATGAGGAAATAACATCATGAACAGTGTAATGTGGGCCCTTTAAAGCTCTAGTATGTAACATTTCTCTTTTATTTAAATTCCATAGCTCATAACAAAAGGGCGTTTGAGGTGATTTACTGAAAGGAAAGGTTGCGGAATATTCACTGCTTTCATTATCCGTAAAACAGAGCTACAGAGAAGTGATTTTTCAGAGTCGCGGTGAACTTTGGACTTTTTCCAGTGACAAAAACACTCAAATATTTAAAGCCATTTTGCACAATACCCCTGGATTTGACTTTATGTGCAGTTATAGTTCATGTTTTAAAGAGACTCATTATTTTAGTGCGGTATTAGAAGTGAAGTCATTTAAAGTTTCTGAGGTTTGGGCGCTAATTACGGTCTGTACAGAGGAGCAGGTATAATGAGTAGTGCTGTACTTTAAAGCGCCCCATATGCATTTAAGTTTGAAAGTTAGTTTGAGTAATGCTGTTGTAGCTGTACCGCGAAAAGTATAGCTGAAAAATATGGAACACTTTATTTAAATATTGCACAAGATTTTTGGTAATATGTTTAGGTTAAAGTAGGAGCACCAAAATAAAAAAAAGTAATAAAAAGTGGAACGCAATTTCTCACGGAGACGCTGAAATGCAAAAATTGAGGCAGTGCAAATTCAAATATAAAATGGTTTAGCAAGTGCTGCCACATTTATTACAAAAATAAGAGTAAAAACTGCATTTATTAGTATTTTTTGATCTATGTTATAATGGTTTATTTAATCGTAAATAGACCTGGAGTTGTGTTTCGTTTCATTCACACATTTAAAACACAAACTCTGCATATTTAGGCTGAGTTCTTCTCTCAAACTGTTCCTTCTTCTGACGTCACGTGGTAATATAGGAAGTGCTCCACTGTGTTTTTAAACTCCATACACCTTCACTAGAATCATTTGAGTAATTTAAGCCCAGGAACTGACGATCTCTACTGAACTAAAGGTAAAACGTGGCTGTTAACTTGAAAACTATCGCTTAATTTTGAGTTGTAAACAGAGTAATAATAAAGGGCTACTCAAATATGTGTCAATTTATTGTCGTAGTACTCAAGACCATTTTTTATTTTTTATGGTCTTGTTCTCGTCTTGGACTCGACCGCGTTTGGACTTGGTCTTGTCTCGGTCTTGAAGGCGCTTGAACTCGGACTTGTCTCGGTCTTGAAGGCGCTTGGACTCGGTCTTTACTTGGTCTTGACTCGGTCTTGTCTCGGTCTTGTCTCGGTCTTGTCTCGGTCTTGTCTCGGTCTTGTCTCGGTCTTGTCTCGGTCTTGTCTCGGTCTTGTCTCGGTCTTGTCTCGGTCTTGACTCGGTCTTGACTCGGTCTTGTCTCGGTCTTGTCTCGGTCTTGTCTCGGTCTTGACTCGGTCTTGACTCGGTCTTGACTCGGTCTTGACTCGGTCTTGTCTCGGTCTTGACTCGGACTTGACTCGGTCTTGACTCGGTCTTGACTCGGTCTTGACTCGGTCTTGACTCGGTCTTGTCTCGGTCTTGAAGGCGCTTGGACTCGGTCTTGTGTTGGTCTTAAAGGCACTTGGACTTGGTCTTGTCTCAGTCTTGAAGGCTCTTGGACTCGAGAACTGAGTGTGATCATATTTCATTACTGCTGCTGCTGTCGGCAATAAACTTCTTACTCCGACATGTGGCTGATGTTTGCTTAATAAAAGTGCACAAATGCATCTGTGTTTGTCATGACGTGCGTTTGGTAAATGTGCACAGGCTAAATATCACTGCAAAACCAGTAAGAGAAAGAAACTGCAGTTAGAACTTTAAAAAAAAAAACAGGTTTAAAACTCCTACACACATTCATCAATTTGTTCAGAGTTTTGTGTAAAGTGCCAGTGGAAGTTCTCTTAAAGAAGGGGTTTCAGTGCAGAACAGTTTGTTTGGCTTATTTTAAGCTTCACTAGCAAGGACCACGGCAACAACAACATAGAGCGAAGAAGAAGTTTATTGATGATGTACGAGGCGGGGCAGAGATGGCTGGGTTGAGACTTTAGGTGGGGGATCCGTCTCAATCTTCAATTGGAACAGCTGGAACGGGACCCCCCTCCTCGCTGATGCCTTGTGGCTGAAAGACGAACAAGATAGGGGGTGGGAGGTTGGGGTCGAGTTAGCCGGGACAAACTGGGACGATGGAAACGGCTGCTACAAATAGGCTTCTGGGAAATCAGAGGTGTGGTCAAAGTGATGAAAGAACAAAAATGTGGCTGTTTGCTACAGGTGTTCCAATCAGTAGGAGCAAGTAGAGGGTGCTCTTGGAAAAAAGGATCAAAACTCAAACACAACGGACTCCAGGCGCTCCAAAACAGTAGAAAAAGTTAACACATCGCACGAGGAAAAATATAGTTAAAAGGCCTTTATTTGAATGGCCAAAGCCAACATGTTTCGACCTTAACTGGTCTTCATCAGGGCTTAATTCACTTCAATTCAATTAAGCCCTGATGACCAGTTACGGCCGAAAGTTTAAATGGAGATAGATTAAAAAAAACAAACAGTGATATACATGTGCCAAAATAACTAAAATACAAAGATGGTCCCAATTTGATCTCGATGGTCCGTGTCTCAGTTTTGTCTCAACCTTTAAAAGTCTTGGTCTTGTCTCTGTCTTGACCCTCAGAGGTCTTGATCTTGTCCTGGTCTCGGGACGTGGACTGATCTTGGTCTCTATTAGTGCGCTCTTGACTACAGCACTATGTGAATGAAACAAAACACAGCTGCGGTTGTGTTTTTGAGGAGGTAAAAACATTATAACGTGATTTAAAATGCACACAAGTCCATGTAGCGTAATATATAGGACCTCTAAAGTTTCACCAAGTTAAGATCAATTGCATTTATTGACCAGAATCACTGTTTTTGACTTCTTTTCAAATCTTCTCATATCTAACACTACTTTATTTCATATTTTTCCCGCAGAACATGTGGTTGGAGAGGACCACGTACACCACGGCGTACAAGCTCCCCGGGATCCTGCGCTGGTTTGAAGTGAAGTCTGTGTCTACAGTGAGTGTTCAGAGACAGCTCCCAATTCAATAACGCTGCACCTTAGACTCAGACTATTGATGTGATTTGTCCGTTTAAGAGCTATAGGCTGCACGGTGGGGAGGACGGGCTCAAAATAACTCGCACCCAAGCTCCCTGGGTCCACGCTGATCCAATATTGTGTCTTTAAAACAATTTCCTCTGTACGCTGACACTTAAGGGAGAAAAATTAGTGCGTGTTTGTTTTTAAAGAGGAGGTATTTTGCTTTTATGGGGTAGTAACTGCGAACACGTAACATATTTGGATAACCGTGTTCGCTTTTATTGTTTTGAAAAGGTTATATTTGTCGAAAAAGTCACTCCGGCTTCAGAGCATTAACACAACACAATAGGGGTGCGTGCCGCTAATGAAACTACCGCACGTCACATCAGGTTTGTGAAGTTGCCGTGTACAGTTTTGTGTCATGTTTTTGTATATTTATGGAGGATTGTCGTGTGGGAGCGTGGAGGAGGGCTTGAATAGGGCCCAGGAGAGATCATTAAATTACTGAAATATGTGTGGATGACGTCTAAAACCTCTTCAGACATGTTTTTGATGAGGCAACAACATTATAATATTGGTAGAAAACCAAAAAGAAAACAAAAAATTTGCATAATGTCCCCTCTTTAACTGTGCACCATTAAAATTTTATTGTGGAGGGACCGTCACGTAATTATTCAACACAACTATTAGCGATTTTCACAACTTTCAGGGATCAGAGCTGAGTTTTCCGTCACAGTAAAACAACAACTAGCATGCAACTAGAGTGTGCTTCCTGGTTTGCAGACTGTTAAACACTTACCGTATTTTTTGGACTATAAGGCACACTTCAAATCCTTTAATTTTCTCAAAAATCGACAGTGCTCCTTATAATTTGGTGCACCTGAAATGATTTTATGTGGTACACCGCGCTCAAAAATCTGTCAGAATGTTTTAGTATGACTTTGGTAAACTACGAAGTCGCACCACTTGACGGATTGTCGGAGCATACAGCTACTGTAGTGAGGAGCCTCGCGGAGTCGTGTTCTTTAGTCCGACAGAAGCTGCATTGGTGACACGTGGAGCGAGCTGTTTTTTTCAGAGCTTATATTTTATGCAAATGAGCCATGTGATTTTAAGTTTTGTTTCTGTAAAACATAAACAAATGTGCGCAAAGCTGCATAAACACATTATTTCTCAATGTATATTTGAGTCCTCCTTGTAGGAAATAAAAAAACAAACTTAAATTAAATGAATCAGCCACATTCAAATTCATAGTACACAGTCACCAAGACAGAGAGGCAACGCCGGTCGAATTACGCCACGATCTGTCAACGGATGGACTAAAGGATCAGTCTCAAGTGTCGTCTGTTTGTTTCGCTTAATGCGCTTTATAATCTGGTGCACCTTATAGTCCAAAACATACGGTACATGCAGCCAGAACATTATATATACAGTATGTCCTGAAGCTAAATAAAGGTTTACTTTTCTCATTTAATTATTGAGTACAGTCCATTTAAGTAAAAGTATAAATTAACATAGGATTATCTAAGTATCGCATGCTAATAGTGCACTTTCTGGTTCACTGATGATAAGAAAACACTTTAGAAATAGAAGTCAGTACACAGCAGTCACATTTTGACCCTAACAGCTGCTTTAACAATACATCTAAGCCAAATAAATGTTTTCTTTTTTCATGTAATAATTAGGTACAGCCCCTTTAATTAAATCTAAAGCTTGACATAGGATTATTTCCAAGTATTGCATGCTAACGGTGCACTCCCTGGTTCACTGATGATCTAAACACTTTACATTTAGAAGAAGTCAATACGAGGTAGACAGTAACAGCTCCTTTTTCAATGCATCTGTACTGAAGCTAAATAAAATAAATGTTTACTTTTCAAAATATAATAACTGGGTCCAGCCACTTTAAGCAAAACTAAAACTTGCCATAAAAAGATTTCGGAGTATTGTAAAAAGATGTAGTCACCCGAACTGCTTTTAATAAAAACAAAACATTCAAGACTGCCCTTACGCTCTTCTATAGTTTTTATATTTTCCATTTAGATCACTACCCCTTTGCACCAGTGTTTAATAGCTATAATTTACCATAATTTTCTCCTAAATTTGGCTCTCCTTACTTAATTACCATGGCATTGTACCATCTTTTGTCTATACTTGTAAACATGCAGCTAAAAGCCCCGTCTCTCTCTCTCTGCCCTCCTCTATAGCTGGTATCATCGTTCATTGTTGTTGTTTATCTTCACACAGGAAGCTGTATTCTGAGCTGTCAAAAGGCACAGCCGGACGCCCACACAGACCTCACATCTCCACGTTTAGTTTTTTCTTTAAAGCACTTTAGTGGCTACATCCTTTTCCGAAATGATAACAGCGACTGGGGGAACTAGACATGGTACAGAATGTTGCTGTGTCAGATGTGCTGTGTTACTTAAGTGTGAGAATGCAAATGAACTGAATCATTTAAAGCAGGGGTCCCCCAACCTTTCTGGCACCACGGACCGGTTTTGTATCTGACAGTATTTCGTGGACCGGAAGGGGTTGGGGGGGCGGCGTGTGGGAGGACGCACGGCGTGGTTAAGTCTTGGCTAAATCCTGTTTTAGTCCTTTTTTAGACCTGCTTTTAGACCAGTTTTAGACCTGTTTTAGTGCTGGTTTAGACCTAGTTTAGTCCTGGTTTATTTCTGGTTTAGTTCTGGTTTAGAGGCATGGCCCATACGATATACGGAAGGAGGGACGGTCCGCGAGACGTATGGGAGGAGGGACAGTCGACTTGACGTACCTGAAGACGGACGGTCCACTCAACGTACGGGAGGAGGGAAGGTCCGCTCGATGTACAGGAGGGGGGACGGTCCATTCGACGTACGGAAGGAGGCACAGTCCGCTTGACGTACGAAGGAGGCACAGTCCGCTCGACGAACGGAAGGAGGCACAGTCCGCTCGACGACGGAAGGAGGCACAGTCCGCTCGACGAACAGGAGGAGGGACAGTCCACTCAGCATACGGGAGGAGGGAGGGTCCACTCGGCATACGGGAGGAGGGACGGTCCGCTCGGCATACGGGAGGAGGGACGGTCCGCTCGGCATACGGGAGGAGGGACGGTCCACTCGGCATACGGGAGGAGGGACGGTCCGCATGGTGTACGGGAGGAGGGACAGTCTGCGAGACATACGGGAGGAGGCACGGTCCGCGCGACGTACGGGAGGGGGGACAGTCTGCTCAACGTACGAGACGAGGAACTGTCTGCGTGACGTACTGGCGGAGGGACGGTCCGTGTTATGTACGGGACGAGGGACGGTCCAGGTCTGCGCAACATACAGGAAGAGGGACAGTCGGCGCATCGTACGGGATGGGGGATCGGTCCCTGCGGCATATGGGAATGGGGGGGGTTCACGCTTTCGTGGCCCGGTTACTGGCCCGGTACCCCTGATTTAAAGGGTTAGCTGTTTTCTGATCTATGTTATAATGTTGTTCCCTCCAGGTATGTTTGTGATGAGGTTACAGCATTATAGCACTTAAAGTTCACAAGAGTATATTTTGCATAAAATAGGGCCTTTAAACACCAACATCCCCAAACTGTCCAGAAATCTCAATGTGTAATTTTTTAAAGCTATTATTACTACAGTACAGTCATTGCCTCTGTACGAACCAGTAATATAAAACTAACTAAATCATTTTTCTACTAAAGTTAAATATAATATAAAACTACAATATAAAATCACATAATGTCCTTTACAATTTCGTTAAAAGTCCCTTTTTCTGCTGTGCTCACATCTCAAAGTCCTGTTTATCTGAATTATAACGTCTCCCAGCCACGATCCATCTCCATTTGACAGATCCTCCTTCATATGTGAGCACATGGAAATGACTCATGCTGTTTCCCGTCATGATTTATGTGTACGGTCCAAGAATACAAATTTACCAACACAAATCACCGTCGGTGAACACAACATTTAGACATATGCAAGTATAGGGCTATGTGATGTAATTGAATTGTATTATATTGTGTATTGTATGACAGATGAAGTCATTTCAAATCAATTCAAGTCAGTGTTCTGTACACAGCAGCATGCCAACGAGCTCACTGTGTCTTAACGCTAACATAGAGTGACCAGATTTCCAAAATCAGAAACTGGGACACCCTCAGTTTGTGGTGGCTGGTAATAATAACACTGTGAAACAAGTGCATCATTAAGGAAATAGTTCTGCACTCGGCTCATTCATGACTAACGTGAGTCAGTATAGTCACATTTTCTTTGTGTTTTGGTCATTTTTAAACTGCTTTTCTGTATTTTACCTAAACAAATGACAATGTATGTCTCGCTTTACTGTTGGTAGGGATCAGATTGGTCAGAAATAGGGACACCTGGGACATTTCTTGTATAAAACTGAGAAAAATCAATGGGTTTTGGCTAAATCTGCTGGGACAGGGGACACAGGGCTCAAAACTTGGACTGTCCCAGGTAAATCTGGTCTAATCTAAGTCTGGTCACCATACGCCAATGGTCACTTTTATAAAAATCATAAAATATAAAATAAACAACTTATTAAAATTCATATTAATTATTTTTTTTAAAAATGTAAAGCATACACAGTTATTTTTAAATGTAAATGATTTCACTTTGTAGCATTTTTTTAAATATTTATTATGCCTCAAATTGAACTTTGAGACACAAACCTATGCCTTTCTAAAAGCCGAGCAGAGTTCAGACTTTGGAGTAGAAAATTTTACTATTTTTTACGTTGAAAAATTGGTATTGCTTGATTGTTCACAAAATTAAAAACCCACTGTATTATGCAAAATTGCCTTTGTGGAGCTTTCTACCATCTTATAGTCTAACAAAAAGGTGTCTGAAGTGGTTTTATATGTGATCCCTGCATGTTTGAGTAATTTAGCAATCTCTCCTACGCCCTGTTTCGTATTTATGGTTAGGCGTAATATTGGTTAGTCCGATGCTCAGCTAACAAACCTACACGTTTTTCATAAATATACAAAAGCAGGATAAAAAAACAATACACTACAACTTCACAAAGCTGATCCGATGATTGTGTTTTGATAGTGCTCTGAAGGGGGAGTGACTTAGCAACAGGAGCATTGGCTGAACTGACACTAATTACGCATTTTCATACTTATTTTGCAACAAATATAGCATTTTCAAAAGGATAAAAGGTATAATGGTGATAATAATACCCCAAAGAAGTGTAATACTCACTTTTTAAAACTGAAAGTTTTTTTTTGTTTTGTTTTTAAAAGACTAAAATATGAGTAAATGAGCAGTGTAATATATTTTTTGTACCATGAAGTGTTTTACTGATCTTTCCTTGTGCTTGTTGTCATTTGCAGGTAGAAATAAGTCCACTGGAAAACGCCATAGAAACCATGCAGTCGGCCAACGATAAAATTAGCAGCATGGTCCAAAGGCACCTCAGCGATTCAAATTTACCCATAAACCCCCTCTCCATGCTGCTCAACGGCATCGTGGATCCAGCTGTGATGGGAGGCTTCGCCAACTATGAGAAGGTACACTGTCATTTTCTATGCATCTCATTTAGAGCTCGTTATGTAAGACTGTTATGTAGCTTTGTGAATAACAGGTCTATAATTATCCCGTATCTGACACAAGTCTATTTTTGCTACTATGAATTTGAATTTTATTCTAATTAAAAGTCCTTCTTGTGAGCTGTAAGACATGTTGTAATGCTGTTACATTGTCAAAAACAGACCTGGAGTTGGGTTTTGGGTTTTGGACAAGTTACTTCAAAACTGTAATGTGTTATTTTTATGACTTGTTACTGTCATTTCAAAGTCATTTGTTACATTACAATATTACTATATTTAAAATGTAAAACATTACACGACTATTGCAGCACTTTAAGTTACTGTCACCAAAATAACTCGTCAAATAACAATCAGCAAGCGAAGATGCCAAACTTTTGAGCTGTATATGGACTGAACCAGGACTGAACCAGGAGTAAATCGAGGACTGAACCCGGACTGAACTGAGGACTGGACCAGGAATGAACCAGGACTGAACCAGAACTAAAGTAGGACTAAACCAGAGCTCCACCAGGACTAAACCAAGTCTAAACCAGAACTGAACCAGGACTAAACCAGGTCTCAACCAGAGCTGAACCATAACTAAACCAGGACTGAACCAGGTCTAAATCAGAACTGAACCAGGAGGAGTGAACCAGAACTAAACTAGGACTAAACCAGTACAGAACCAGGAATGAACCAGGACTAAACCAGGACTGAACCAGGAATAAACCAGGTCTAAAACAGGACTAAAACAGAACTGAACCAGGTCTAAATCAGAACTGAACCTGAGCTGAACTTGAGCTGAACCAGGACTAAACCACGTCTAAAACAGGACTAAAACCAGAACTGAACTAGAACTGAACCAGGAGTAAACCAGGTCTAAACCAGGACTGAACTGATGACTTGACCAGGAGGAATGAACCAGGACTAAACCAGAGCTTAACCAGGACTGAACCAGGTCTAAACCAGAACTGAACCAGAAATGAACCACTACTAAACTAGGACTAAACCAGGACTGAACCAGAGCTGAACCAGGACTGAACCAGGACTAATCTCCCCCATTCTAAGTAGCTCGCCGAGGGATTTCGAAATTATTCATTGTGCTGAATAACTAAAATTTGGTTAATTAAATGCCTATTACCATTGTAAATGTGTCATTTTGAAGCCCGACGTTGTGCACTAATAAATGGACAATGGTTTATGTTTTATCAGCATCCAACTGTACCCAAAATCTCACCCTCTTTTTTTTATAATTGTCTCAAATTCTTGCGGCCGCTAAAACAATAAGCTCTCTGGCATTTTTGTTTTGTAAAAGAGCTCACAGGAGGAAAAAGGCTGGAGACCCCTGATCCGGATGATTGTAGTGAAGGTTTATTGAGTTTAAAAACACAGTGGAGCACTTCCTGTATGACCACTTGACATCACAAGGTGTCACAGTGTTTTCATTTTGAGAGAAGAACTCAATTAAGCATGTGTGGGTGAAACAAAACACAACTCCAGGTCTGTTTGTGATGAGAAAACAACATTATAACATGGATCAGAAAATAGTGTAACATGGGTCCTTTAAATAATATTGACAGCATATTCCCAGGTTGACTTTGTTGTCTCATTTAAATGTAAAACAAATGTGTGTTCGGTCACATTTACAAACATAATAATGAGAAAACAATAGGTGCCATATGCTCAGTTTAATTTATTCATGCAAATGAGTTTTCCCGTAACTTGCCATTTCCAACTGAGCTCTTGGACCCAAAGCTGCTGCTGCTGACAACACGTCTGCAATACATATGCATGAACTGTGTTGAAAGAAAATAAAAACTTAAAAAAGAAAGTTTAAAAGTGACTCTCTGTGCTGTCAAAACCACTGGGGGAAGAAGTACTTGAGTTTGTTACATAAGTAAAGACACAGAAGCACAGATATTGGAGCAAAAAATACCAAAAGTAGAAGTAAAAAAGTCTACCAGTTTAAGTATTTTGTTCAGATTTTCTAATAATACTTTTAACTGTTTTTATTTGTATATTCTGTTTGTTCCGACTACAAATGTGTTAACAATAAAACCCTTAGCCTTTTCAGCAGGTCTCACGCAATAATACACAATAATTTTACTTTTTACCCAGTTTTAAAGGCCCGTTTACATGAGAATGCTTATGGGTAAAAATGACAAAATATTTGATCGGAAGTGCCTTTCGTTTAGACCGTGACGGCGTTTTTGGGGGGCTTAAAAAGATTAAAATCTCAAACCTCCAGAGTGGAAAAGTTGAATACACTTTGCTTTAGTGTTTCCGTCTACACTGCCCAAGATGCAAAACTCTGTTCAGATCTGCTCAGGTCGCGTACACGTTTACGTCACATACAAACAGTACACGGAAACAAACATGTCGGATCATTTCCGTGCGTCGAACCTTCAAGCTTCAAGCATCCCAACAAATGTAGAGATCAGCAGAGATTATATTAGTGAACAGAGAAGGATCTGAAATCACCTCTGTCAAAGTCTGGATGTACCAGTTCGTCGCAGGCGAGTCAGACGGTTATGGACGAGACCTGCGAGAACCAGTCGATGGTGGGACAACTTTGTGGAAGGAGCAGCGGATGAAAATGCATGGTGGGAAAACTTCTGTATGTCCAAAGACGCCCTTGTTGCATTGTCGTATTTTCCACACCATAGGGCACGCTCATAAGTTTCCAACCCCATCAAAAAACAACAGTGCGCCCCACAATCCAGAGCGCCCTATACACGAATCCACTCGGGTGTCCCAGTACGACTTCAGTAAACTACAAAGCCGCACCACCCGCAGCGCACGCAAACACACACGGAGCAGACAGCGACCGCACAGCGAAAAAAAACACCCACAGACACACTCATCACTCCACGCCGACGAGGAACGGAACGGAGGAACGAACCGAAAAAGCGAGCGCAATGTGCCGCTTCTAGACACGACTGAACAACTGAGTCACTGCGAACACGCCGACCATCCAGTTCGGTCCCAGACAGCACCCTCCCTACACGCCACAACTGAACGAAGCCCAGAGTCACCGTGAACGCCACAAACAAACAAAACCACTCACCCATCACACTGTTGTGTTTCCTTTAAAGTCCGGTGCGGTTTATTTGTGAAAAAAGTTCGAAAATAGACCATTCAGTGACGCAGATTTCCTCCTGAAAACGCTGAATAAAAAGTGAAGACGCGACACCACTTTTGTGTCTTTTGTTCAGACCATCATCATATAAATGTAGCCTAAATGTTAAAGTAAAAGGTATAAGGTATTGTAAATGATACCTATTTGTTTTACTTCAGTACTTTACGACTTTTACTTTGTTACATTCCACCACTGGTCATTACCAATAACACATTTCTCTCGATCTCTGTTCTGCGTAGGCCTTCTTCAACGAGCAGTACATGCAGGAGCACCCGGACGACCTGGAGAAGATCAACAAACTCAAGGACCTCATCGCCTGGCAGGTAAGTCCGCTCGAAGATTAATAGTCCGCGTTTCGTATTCAATTGTCTGATGTTGTTTCCTGTGCAACGGCCTTTTAAAACCTGATTGGTCACGGTGCAGCCACAGCACTTGGCATTACCCGTTTTAATCTCCGAGCAGGACGTTTTGCTAATATTTTTGTGTCGTAACATTGAAGGGTACTGTCTTTTTAATCATGTCTGCGTTTTTACAGTGACCACCGGCCTCTTAGTTTAATCACAGTTGAATTATTCTTTCCTATTCAGTGTCTGTTAGGTAACCGGCCTTAATAGCGAGAGCTGTTTTAGGAAATCAAAAGAAAGTCTGGTGTACCTCTGTTGATGCTGGGGGTGAAAGCTCGCAAGTTACCGCGGAGACACGATGCACAGATTAGTAAACAAACCCAGATACATTTTAAGATCATCATAAAACGTCAAGAAAAAATACAAAATGGATTCAAACAGCATATTTTCAGGAGTCTGTGATCAATACAAGCAATCACGGTCATGTTTAGGAATTAGATTTTCAACAAAAAAGTGAGAGTGACTAAATGAAAAAGTGTTGGTTAATGGTTTATTTGATTGAGACTAGTTTAAGAGCACAAAATTAGATCACCCGTTGTAGTTTAGTTCCAACTAAATCAGCTCTTTTCTGGTCAGATTGTGTTAAAATAAAGGTCAGATTAAAGTCTAAAAAGCCTCACAGTACAGGACCACACCCGCCCGTGAACCTGTGATGATATCGAAGTTAAATCCGCACCCGCCTGGACCCGTTCACATTCTACCCATTACCCGCCTGTGATAAATCGGGGTCAGTCCATTAGTCCGACAGCCCAGTAGTCCAGGACTAAACCAGAACCGAACCTACGCCTTGTCATAAGCGGATTATAAATATATACACACTGCAAACTGCAGAGCTGATCATCAGGATCAGCAGGACTGGACTAGGACTGGACCAGGACTACACAGGATTGGACCAGGTCTAAACCAGATCTAAACCAGGACTAAACGAGGACTGAATCAGGACTGAACCAGGACTAAACCAGGACTAAACCAGGATTTAACCAGGACTGAACTAGGTCTAAACCAGGACTAAACCAGGTCTAAACTAGGACTAAACCAGGACTAAACTAGGTCTAAACCAGGACTAAACCAGGTCTAAACTAGGACTAAACCAAGACTAAACTAGGTCTAAACCAGGACTAAACTAGGTCTAAACCAGGACTAAACCAGGTCTAAACTAGGACTAAACCAGGACTAAACTAGGTCTAAACCAGGACTAAACCAGGTCTAAACTAGGACTAAACCAGAACTAAACTAGGTCTAAACCAGGACTAAACCAGGTCTAAACTAGGACTAAACCAAGACTAAACTAGGTCTAAACCAGGACTAAACTAGGTCTAAACCAGGACTAAACCAGGTCTAAACTAGGACTAAACCAGGACTAAACTAGGTCTAAACCAGGACTAAACCAGGTCTAAACTAGGTCTAAACCAGGACTAAACCAGGTCTAAACTAGGACTAAACCAGGACTAAACTAGGAGTGCAGCCGCCAAGCCGATCACCTCCCCTGATGCGTTTTATGTAATAAAAACACTAAAGTCTCTCTCAGCCTGGTCCATCGTTTGAGGAAAAGACCGGAAAATGGCTCTTGTTTCCAGGGCAACGGACTCCCTGGACGCGCGTCAAGTATTTTTCTCCCGTTCGTCATTTATTTGATTCACCTGAACCGCCTGTGTGTAATCACTTCCTTCTACTACTCCTTTATCTGGTCTTCAAGGTGCATTGTGTAACTTTTCTAGTGGAGGGTCTGTCAAATGCTTTTCTCCACGGAGATGTTATTGCTTTGTCAAGAATGTGTCACAGTGTGATATTAAATGTTTCTATTGTCATGGAGACCAAATCAGACCAGTACTTTTGAGTTCAATAAACGTAAGGTCGAGCTTTTTAATGTTGTACTGTGGAACATTCTTCTACTCCATCCCATTACATGATATTCACCTTTTCAAACGGCATATGAACGATCCAGAACTCGCCCGATTTCCATACTTTAAATAGCTTCAGTACAGTTTATTCCGGGGCATTTGTCAGATACCTCGTCGCCTTTGCAAAGTGCAGAAATCCTCCTAAAAGGTTAGCGCCGGAAGGATAATATCACTTAAAGAAGGAGGTGAGAAGAGAGCTGGGGAGATCCTTGTGAAACTATGAGCGGAGACAATTTGCTGAAGTTTGCAGTGAGCCAGAGATCAGGACAGGGCTTCTGAAAGTGCACATACAGCAAGATGAGACACACTACCACCACTGCACCTATGCTAGCCTGTTTAAACTGCTTATTACGAGGCTAAATGCGTAGTTGCAGGTGCTTAGGAGCTGGTCTTTGATTATTAAAAGCTAAAGTTGTGGCTTTGTTATCCTCCGTGGAGATTTGAAATGCTGACGATGTTTTCTGTCTTGTTTTAAAGTGAACTGAGATGGTGAGATGCACATTTTTAAAGCTGATTTTGTGGTTTCTAAGTAAGGTTTTAAAAGTAGTGTTTGTTACTCTTGGGGTTGTTCAAAGCATCGAAAATCTGATTCTAATTGGTATTAACTCTTGTATTGAAACTATTTGAGCAGGTATCAATACTAGAAAAATCACATTCACAGGACAGATGGACCTTTCCTGAAGCTTCAGAATGATCTTGAGCTGAATAAGAGCACACAGACTAGTATACACCCATGGACCACTATGGAACTTACCTGGACCACTGATATAAAACAAATATGAACACAAAAATATAAAACCACATGGAAATATAAAAGAACGTACTATGATTTAATGTTGAAAATCACATTCTATTGTCTAAACAAAGATTGTTTTTATACTCATCGTGGTATTGGACATTGAGAACATTATGTATTATGTTCTGTTTGAGGCCATGGAGTTACAGTTTTAAGGATTTTATCAATAAAAAACACCATTAACTCTTTCCCCCCTGGACGCCTACTAGGAACAACCCATACATATGTTACTAGGGCTACACCCATAGAGCATAATTGCATAAAAGAAAACAGACTTCCACGAGTGATTTCAGGGCAATTTTGGTTCATAATCGAGTATAAAGCCCGGATAGTTTGTTCGGACATCGCAGGACTCCATACAGACGCATCAGCGTTATTCTCATCTTCGTAAGATTCACTCTCTGAAAGTCCGTCGCTATCGCTGTTTTCCACTTTATAATCACCCTCATCATCACTTTGAAATCTATAAAAGTCACTTTCTCTAAACTTATCCATAAAATACGTCCGCTCCTCATTATTTCTAAAACTGTGCGCCGCAGCGCCGCGATCTTTCCATTGCACGTGTTTCGTGTTGTGTTTTTTCCGGAAGCTACCATCGTCACTATTTCGATTAACTTCGGAAAAAATCGGCGAAAACATATCCTTGAATCCTATTGGTCAGTCTAGTGTCGGTTGTAGTGGCCTCCACCGATCACAGTCTCTGTTTAAATGAGAAAAACCGAGCCATTTCTAAAGGTCGTCAAATCACGTCTTTAGTGATACAGCGGAGGTGTCAAAAGTCGTCATTAAGGGTTCAGGGGGGTCGTCAAATGTCGTCTTTATGGGGGAAAGAGTTAATGATTAATCAGTGTAATGACCTACTAAGGAACATCTCCATGGACAAATTTTGCAAGATGTACTCAACTTAGATGCTGCACTATATAACTTTTCTTGTGAAGAGTCTGCCACCTACTTGTATTGCTTGGAATGTTCCAAAGTATGGCATTAAACTTATCTATGTCTTGGGTTTATCCAGTTACAGGTGTCTTAATGCTCAAAACAGAACAAAAGACAAACACAAAGACAGCAGTCACACTATACAATACAGGATCATAAGATTTACATCTCTCTGATTTTATCATCACCACACCCATATTTGTAAATGCTTACAGCGAACCTCCTTGCCTATCCACAGATCTGACCTGTAACTTGGCCTGCTGGAGATGATTAGTTGTTCTAGTCCTCAAAATCCCAACATTGATTTCCGTTGTTGATTGACTTGGTTTGCTATCGTTTACCTGTAACGTTCCACAGTATAGCATTAAACTTATCTTTCTCGATACTGAAAACACCTTGAAAAACATGCATTCTTACTGCGAACAGGCTTGCCTCTCCACAGATCTCATGTGTAACTTGACCTGATGTAAATAATTAGTTGTAGTAGTGCTCTGAAACCGAACATAGATTTCCTTTGTTGCTTAACTTGGGATACTGTAGTTTACCTTTACCTTTAATGTCCCGCAGTATAGCTTTAAACCTATCTTTCTGGAAAACCATGCATTCCTACTGCAAACACGCTTGCCTCTCCAAAGATCTGCCCTGTAACTTAACCTGGTGGAGATAATTAGTTGTTCTAGTCCTCAAAAACCCAACTTTGATTCCCTTTGTTGCTTGATTTGGGATGCTATAGTTTACCTGTAATGTTCCACAGTATTGCATTAAACTTATCTTTCTAAACACTTTGAAAAACATAAATTCTTACTTCGAACAGGCTTGTCTCTCCACAGATCTGCCCTGTAACTTGACCTGCTGGACATAATTATTTGTAGTAGTGCTCAAAAACCCAACTTTGATTTCGTTTCTTGGTTGACTCGGGATACTGTGGTTTACGTTTACCTTTAATGTTCCACAATATAGCTTCTTGATACTGAAAACACCTTGAAAAACATTCTTGCTGCGAACACGCTCGCCTCTCCGCAGATCTGCCCCGTAGCCTGACCTGGTGGAGGTAATTAGCTGCGGTAGTGCTGAGAAACCCAACGTTGATTCCCCCGTGTTGCCTGAGTTGGGATGCAGTAGTTTTCCGGTCTTTTCTCGTCTCTCCTCTCGTCTTTGCGCCGCTCCCTCGTTCTCCGGTACACAGATGATTGGATTTGCCGTAGTCTCTCCTCTTCCCTTTCACTCTTGTTGTAAAATAGGTCGACTTTGTGCTCCTGAACCTGCTCTGAGGTTTTGTGTTGGGG